TCCTGCTGAGCAATGACACACGTCCAGGAAGGAAAAGAGAGGAGGAGATCGGGAAGAGCCACCCAGAAACCCAAAAAGCAGCTGTGATTCAGAAGAGGCCCAAGGGAGGGCACGTCCAAGTCCAGAGCGGAGAGGAGGGGGAAAAGGCCCTTCCCACTGTGCAGCACCCGCTGTGTGTCGCACAGCCAGGCACTGGAGATCCTCTTAACCTCGCTCGCTGGTCCGCAGCACGGACACGCTGCCCCTGGGATCAGGGTTTAACCGCTGTATCCCGGGAGAAGGCACCAAGGGCCATTCTGCACTGTTAAAAACAAGCACTCGTGTGCTTAGGCTTCATGCATAAGGCGGCTAGAAAAGCGGTTGTTCCCCGAGGTTGGGGCACAGAGCTGTCAATACCTGCACTGTGCAGGGGCAGTACTTACCAAGCTCAGCATCCCCTCTCCCCAGTATTTGGGTCAAGCCTCGTACTGCTGCTGCCTCATTTAATAAGCACTGAAACGGCCTCCCGCCACCGATCCAAGCCCCAGTCCACCAGCCTCCGCACGCTGGAGTGAATTTCAGCCCTGCCTGACAGCAGACTCCATTCAGATGCGTTCCCCTTGCTGAGGGGAACGGGCTGGGGGTCAGCAGGGCTCAGCACAGTCACAGGGCAGCGCAGGGCTTGGACTGTATTTGCTCCTTTCAGTGGTGGGCACGAGCTGCGGCTCCTTGAGAGAGGCCACGCACCGTCTGTTCTCCTTGGCACCCTCCCTCTTCGCTCAGCGCATGGGAGAGAGGCTTCCTCCGAAACCTCAGCAATCATTCCCTTAATAACTCCGTACTCTAGGAAATCTCCTGGCCTCCTTCTAGCCTGCAACAAGACCGCACCATTTCCCGTTTGCCGTGCTGAGGGGGATAGCTTCGCGTGGGTCACGTTGCAGCAAAAACAAGGCTGTAATAAAACTTAACCTGAACGAAAGCGCTGGTGTTTTTGAGGTGACCAGAGGGGCCCCGCTCAAGCCTATGCTACACGTGCAACCTCAAGCCACGCAGCTCCGCCACCCCCGGGGAGCAGGGCACG